GGCTATTGACTCACACTAGATTTTATAGTTTGCTTGCCTGGTATAACTTGACCGTGGCAATGGTTCTTAGAACCAAAATGTAGAGCTCAACGGCCCAATTTAATGCTAGGTGAGGCTGTTGACTCATACTAGATTTTATAGTTTGCTTGCCTGGCATAACTTGGCCATGGCGATGGTTCTTAGAACCGAAATGTAGAGCTCAACGGCCCATTTTAATGCTAGGTGAGGCTGTTGACTCATACTAGATTTTATAGTTTGCTTGCCTTATGGCGATGGTTCTTAGAACCAGAAAGTGGAGCTCAACGGCCCAATTTAATGCTAGGTGAGGCTGTTGACTCATACTAGATTTTATAGTTTGCTTGCCTGGCGTAACTTTGGCCATGGCGATGGTTCTTAGAACCAAAATGTAGAGCTCAACGGCCCATTTAATGCTAGGTGAGGCTGTTGACTCATACTAGATTTTATAGTTTGCTTGCCTGGCGTAACTTTGGCCATGGCGATGGTTCTTTGGAGCTCAACGGCCCAATTTAATGCTAGGTGAGGCTGTTGACTCATACTAGATTTTATAGTTTGCTTGCCTGGCGTAACTTGGCCATGGCGATGGTTCTTAGAACCAAAATGTAGAGCTCAACGGCCCAATTTAATGCTAGGTGACGGCTGTTGACTCATACTAGATTTTATAGTTTGCTTGCCTGGCGTAACTTGGCCATGGCGATGGTTCTTAGAACCAGAAAGTGGAGCTCAACGGCCCATTTTAATGCTAGGTGAGGCTGTTGACTCATACTAGATTTTATAGTTTGCTTGCCTGGCGTAACTTGGCCATGGCGATGGTTCTTAGAACCAGAATGGGGAGCTCAATGGCCCAATTTAATGCTAGGTGAGGCTGTTGACTCATACTAGATTTTATAGTTTGCTTGCCTGGCGTAACTTTGGCCATGGCGATGGTTCTTAGAACCAGAAAGTGGAGCTCAACGGCCCAATTTAATGCTAGGTGAGGCTGTTGACTCATACTAGATTTTATAGTTTGCCTGGCGTAACCTGGCCATGGCGATGGTTCTTAGAACCAGAAAGTAGAGCTCAACGGCCCTGATTTTAATGCTAGGTGAGGCTGTTGACTCATACTAGATTTTATAGTTTGCTTGCCTGGCATAACTTGGCCATGGCGATGGTTCTTAGAACCAGAAAGTGGAGCTCAACGGCCCATTTTAATGCTAGGTGAGGCTATTGACTCACACTAGATTTTATAGTTTGCTTGCCTGGTATAACTTGACCGTGGCAATGGTTCTTAGAACCAAAATGTAGAGCTCAACGGCCCAATTTAATGCTAGGTGAGGCTGTTGACTCATACTAGATTTTATAGTTTGCTTGCCTGGCATAACTTGGCCATGGCGATGGTTCTTAGAACCGAAATGTAGAGCTCAACGGCCCATTTTAATGCTAGGTGAGGCTGTTGACTCATACTAGATTTTATAGTTTGCTTGCCTGGCGTAACTTGGCCATGGCGATGGTTCTTAGAAAACTAGAAGGTGAGGCTGTTGGATTTTATAGTTTGCTTGCCTGGCAACTTGGCCATGGCGATGGTTCTTAGAACCGAAATGTAGAGCTCAACGGCCCAATTTAATGCTAGGTGAGGCTGTTGACTCATACTAGATTTTATAGTTTGCTTGCCTGGTATAACTTGGCCAAGGCGATGGTTCTTAGAACCAGAAAGTGGAGCTCAACGGCCCAATTTAATGCTAGGTGAGGCTGTTGACTCATACTAGATTTTATAGTTTGCTTGCCTGGCGTTTTGGCCATGGCGATGGTTCTTAGAACCAGAAAGTGGAGCTCAATGGCCCATTTTAATGCTAGGTGAGGCTGTTGACTCATACTAGATTTTATAGTTTGCTTGCCTGGCGTAACTTGGCCATGGCGATGGTTCTTAGAACCAAAATGTAGAGCTCAACGGCCCAATTTAATGCTAGGTGAGGCTGTTGACTCATACTAGATTTTATAGTTTGCTTGCCTGGCGTAACTTGGCCATGGCGATGGTTCTTAGAACCAGAAAGTGGAGCTCAACGGCCCATTTAATGCTAGGTGAGGCTGTTGACTCATACTAGATTTTATAGTTTGCTTGCCTGGCGTAACTTTGGCCATGGCGATGGTTCTTAGAACCAGAAAGTGGAGCTCAACGGCCCAATTTAATGCTAGGTGAGGCTGTTGACTCATACTAGATTTTATAGTTTGCTTGCCTGGCGTAACTTGGCCATGGCGATGGTTCTTAGAACCAGAAAGTGGAGCTCAACGGCCCGATTAAATGCTAGGTGAGGCTGTTGACTCATACTGGATTTTATAGTTTGCTTGCCTGGCGTAACGTGGCCATGGCGATGGTTCTTAGAACCAAAAGTAGAGCTCAACGGCCCAATTTAATGCTAGGTGAGGCTGTTGACTCATACTAGATAACTTTGGCGATGGTTCTTAGTTTCAACGGCCCATTTTAATGCTAGGTGAGGCTGTTGCTAGATTTTATAGTTTGCTTGCCTGGCGTAACTTTGGCCATGGCGATGGTTCTTAGAACCAGAAAGTGGAGCTCAACGGCCCAATTTTAATGCTAGGTGAGGCTGTTGACTCATACTAGATTTTATAGTTTGCTTGCCTGGCGTAACGTGGCCATGGCGATGGTTCTTAGAACTAGGTTTTTCTCTTGCAAAGAAGGTGTCTTCCAGGCCAAGATGTTTTGGTTTGCACAGGTGGCCCTTGAGTGGGGCAGTCCGGCACTTCTGCTATTACTGCAGTGTGCAAGAGGAACAACTGGATGAAAATGCAAGCTAATCTGAGCTATGCTACCCCCCCCCCACCCCACGATTCCTGCAAGTGTATAACCTGTCTTTGAGCCCACTAAAATATTGAAGCGCAAAATACTGTTGAGGAACTAATGCTGGCTCTGCCAGCTGATCATTAGTTATCTTTGGTTTGACATTTCATAAATTATTTGCAGTGGGTCCCTGGTTTTACGAATGATGATAAAATAGTCTGTCATTAAGCATGAGCCTCAAATGGAGTTTCAGGATAAGAAATGTGAAATATGCCTGACTTAGTAATCTGGGGGAGCCAGATTAAAAGCAGCGGCCAAGTTGAAATATGATGTAAAAGTGTGCGATTGATCAAAGAAACAACAGGCACCCGGTTTTTCCTTATCTCCAGGACAGAGAGTGGAACTGCTCAGAATGGAATGATTCCAAAGACCCAAATGCCAAGAAGAGTTGGGATTTCTTTAAAGAACCTTGACTCTATCAATGCATTGGCTAAGAGAATTGTTCTGTGCTGGTAAAAGCAGAACAATGTTCACCATCTTTGGGGGAGGATGGTAGAGATAATCCATTGTCACTTTTTTGAGATGTGTAGGTGGTCCTCAACTTAAACTGCACTGGAGCATGCCCATTGCGGTCATAAGTTGTGATAGTTGTAAAATAGGTGAGGGTTCATTCTCTGATCTTGTGAGTTGGCTTCCAAACGTTTCGTTAGCAGGTTAGGTAACACTTTCAGCGGAGTTTAGGGGGGATGTCCATGTTCTCCTGTTTAATAAGGGCTTCGGATGTGGGTGTGCCAAGTGAGGGTCTTGTGATGGCTTCAGGTGTGAATCATCAGTGAGAGGCTTGTGATGGGGAGGATACATCAAGTCAGAGCCATCAAGAAGTGAACTGGTGTGGTGAGAAGGAGGGTTGTGTGGGTTGGTTGGGGGTCAGTGCTGTCTCTCGTTGGCTGTGCAATCGATTTGGATTCTGAGGTTCGTAGGCTGGTTGTAGGTCAAAGTGTGTATTGACGGAATTGTTTGTGGCGTGCCAGGTTTCGATGAACTCATGAGCGTGGCGGGTGGTAGTTTAGTGTTGCTCCAGTCGTACTGGTGTTGTGGGTAGAGATGGATTTGGGATCATGGTGTTTGACAGCTGGTGCTCGTGGATCCTGGTTTTTAATTGGTGTGATGTTTGTCCAACGTAGAATTGATTGCAGTCGTTGCAGTTGATTTTGTAGATTACATATCTTGTCTTGGTTCTGGACAGCACTGACCCCCAACCAACCCATGCAACCCCCCTTCTCACCACACCAGTTCACTTTTTGATGGCTCTGACTTGATGTATCCTCCCCATCACAAGTCTCTCAGTGATGACTCACACCTGACCCATCACCTCACTTGACACAGCCACCTGACCCATCACAAGACCCTCACTTGACACAGCCACCTGACCCATCACAAGACCCTCACTTGACACAGCCACCTGACCCATCACAAGACCCTCACTTGACATACACCCCTGACTCATCACAAGACCCTCACTTGACACACACCCCTGACTCATCACAAGACCCTCACTTGACACACCCACATCTGAAGCCCTTATAAACAGGAGAAGTTGGGCATCCCCCCTAAACTCCGCCGAAGGTGTTATCTAGCCTGCTAACGAAACATTTGGAAACCATCCCACAAGCTCAGAGAACGAACCTCGCCTTTATCCTACACCCGAGCTACAATTATTCACCACTTTGGTTTTTTATATGTAGACCCAAAAGCAACAAACCTCCATGCTATAAAGCATCTGGTTTATATATTGATTGGTTTTACTGTTTCTAATCTGTGAAGAAGGGATAAGAAAAAACAATAACCAAATATAAAATGAAGCGATAACACAAAACCCAAAACAAAACCAGAAAGAGACAGGAAATTAAAAAAAAAAATAGCAAAGAGCATGAGCAAGTAATACCCATCAGAGTAAATAGAGCAAAATTCAGAGCCTATGAGAACGGTCAGCTCTGCCATTTTTGCTATGTTTCACTAGGCTTGCTGGTATCCTGCCCTAAACGCAGGATGAGGGGATGGGGGTAGAGAAAATTGGGGAAGATAGCTGTTAGGGGGGAGGGACAGAGTGGACGATGATGATGCCCTGCAGCTGTGCAACTTCAACTTTCATGGCAGCACTCCAAAAGAGATTTGAAAATCCTCTCACTGGTCGTAAAGCCAGAAAGTGAATAAAGACTATCTGCCAGGGCCGGAGACCTGTGGCTGCTGACACCCAAGAATTTGGCTGGCTGACTGGCCATAGGACATGTTTATCCAGTGTTTCCAAGACAGGCTGAGCAACGACGTCTACAACCACCTGCATCTCCCAGGGCACCGAAAAAGAAAAAAGCCTTGAAGCCAAAGTCAAGCAAAGGCCATGGTGACGCTCCACTGCTTGTTTTAAGTGTGGAAAAGAGGGGCACTGGGCACCGACTGCTGAACCAGCCCTAGACCTGCGAGGAACCGGGGAAACAGTGCTGGAGGGAGTTGAAGCTGTTGCATTCACCCTATCAACTAACGATGGTGCGCGAAGTCTGACCATCCCGGTGGAAGGCCCCGTGGAGAACGACACCAACTCGGACAACTACCTCTTGGTAAGTCACCCCATAATCCTAGTAACCATCCCCATGGAGTTGGTGGTGCCATCCTCCAGGGATTGATGGCTAAATTATCCAAGTGCAAATTCAGTCAAAGCAGAATTGACTATCTTGGGTACTATATCTTCCACAATGGGATAGAAATGGACCCCGAGAAGGTGCATGCGATTCTAGAGTGGGCTCCTCCCCGCACCAGGAAACAACTCCAAAGTTTCTTGGGATTCACAAACTTTTTACTGTCAATTCATCCCATCATTTGCTCAGATAGCATTCTGTATCACCAAAACAAAAGGGCAGGGCAAGCCCATGAGAACCTAGAAGTGCTCCCCCCCCCCAAAAAAACTGTCCCCCAAGCATGTGCAACGGGCTCAGTACTTTAACAGTTTTAATTTCACTTTACAGTACCTCCCAGGCGGCTGGAACTTCTTGGCGAATGGCCTCTCACGGCTGCCCCAGTACAACAGCTGTAAAGGTAAGATAGTTGGACCAGTCATTCCATCCAAGTGATGGGCAGCACCAGTCACCACTAGAGCTCAAGAAAAATGCTCCCCAAAGGTGCCAGATGATCTTGAAAGTAGATTTGAAGGAGGACAAGTGGTTCAGGGACCACCAGACTGTAGTATACATGATGGCTTAGCTTGGGAGAGGACCAAATTGTATGTGATTGAAAGCCAACAAACTGTGGTGATGTTGTAAAAATGCCACGATTCAAAAACTTGGGGGGGCACTTTGGCTTTGTGAAAACCTTACACGCACAAAGCGCCAGTTCTGGTGGCTGATACTAAAGAAGAGCTCAGGAAATATAGCAATCTGGGTGATAACAGTCCTTTTTTCAAAGCAAGTGCCCTTTGTGCCAGGCCCTAAGATTCCTTCGGCATGCTCATTATACACTCCCATGCCCCATCCACACTTATTTGTGTAATATGTGTAAAGACTGTATGGCGTTCTCGAGCACATCATCTAAAACTGCGGAGTCCAATTCACTTCGAGGTTTTGGCAAGAATTTTTAAAATTGCTTGGCACCACCCAGGGACTTAGCTCTCCCATCGTCCTGGAATGAAGGGGGTCCCTGCACTAATGGGGTCCTGGAGTTGTACCCAAGGTGCTGTATTAAATACCAACAGGACAATGGGACCAACCTCCCTTTTGCAGCGGTGGTATATAACAACTCAGTATTCAGCAGCACTGGGTTCACCCCCTTTAAAGTGGCATCTGGGCAGGTCTTTGTAGCTTTGCCCAAATTACCCCAAACTAAGCCACATGCCCAGTGGAATGGGTTGCCCAGCTGCAGAGCACCTGGCTGGTAGTTCGCAAAGCACTAGATGAAGTGTGAGAAACTTACAAGAAACAAGCACACCAAATCCAAGGACTTTAAAGTTGGGTGACAAGGATTACCTGTCCACCAAATACCTTGAAACGCTTTCATGCATTCTATAGAGAATACCTAGATAAGCCCCAATGAAGCCAATCTAATTGTTCTTTTCCTACTTTTTTTTTCCAGGACTAACATCCCTGTCAAGGTGGCCCAAGGAGAGAAGCAACCCAGAACTAAGAATTTCCTTTCAGTAAGGACAATTAATCAGCGGAACACTGGAAGTTTTTAAGAAGAGACTGGACAGCCATTTGTCTGAAATGGTATAGGGCAGGGGTCTTCAAACTCGGTTCTTTTATATGACTCATGGACTTCAACTCCCAGAATTCCTCAGCCAGCGTGCCTGGCTGAGGAATTCTGGGAGTTGAAATCCATGAGTCATAAAAGAACCAAGTTTGAAGACCCCTGGTATAGGGTATGCTGCCTGAGCAGGGGGTTGGACTAGGTGACCTTCAAGGTCCCATCCAATGTTATTGTTATTGTTAATAATGTTATTAATGTTAATATTGTTATTGTTAATATTGTTAATGTTAATGTTGTTGTTAATAGTATTGTTAATATTATTAATAGTGTTAATATTATTAATAGTGTTAACATTGTTAATGTTAATATTGTTATTAATGTTAATGTTAATATTGTTCATGTTAATGTTATGTTATTGTTATTGTTAATATTGTTAGTGTTAATATTAATGTTTTGTTATTGTTAATATTGTTATTAATGTTAATAATATTATTGTTAATGTTGTTATTATTAAATGTCAACTCTGCCATCTTCATTATGCTTCACTAGGCTTGCTGGCATGTCATAAATGGGGGGTGGTGGTAGGGAAAATTGGAGAAGCCGTGCAGGGGGGAGGGTGAACATTGACAGGAACCTGAGGGGCTAAGCAGCTAGCTTCCACCACTTCAAGATGCCTGGCCTGGGAAAGAATGTGAAACCTGTTCAAGATGCACTTACAATCAAAGCGGTTCTCAAAACATCAATCCGGGATCTATTGAACACTGATGTTCTGGTCAGGGGAGAAGCCCATGAACCTGGGAAAATTCTGTAACTTTGCACGGGAATACTCAGACCTTGCCTTACTTTTACTGCAACCTCTAATCTTTAATAAAAGAACTTATTGCTTCAACAAATGGAGTTGAGGGTCTTTCTTTCAGGGACTTAGCTTGGGCAGGCTTAGCAATAACCCCAAATGGCAAAATATATTTTTGTAAAATAAAATGGGAAAGAAAAGTTAAAATATGAACTCTCCAAATCACTTTGAGAAAATCTCATACAATCGGGGGAAAACCCCAAATGGTTTTTGATACTCTTGAGTAAGATTTCAGATTCCAGGGACTGTCTTTTTGTTCTGAGTTAGTCTGTTGTATGAACCTGTCCTTTAAGAAGTCAACAAAGATTAGGTTAGGGCTGTATATTTAGGGTGCTAAGCCTAGAAAAATGATGTGGGAAGGGGGGGGGGTTGTCACTTCAACCTTTGGAAAACTGAAGCTGTTCCTTTGCTTCCGTTCAAGCTGTCCATGTCAGGCCCAAAGGATCAGGACCATCTGTTAAGTTGTAGTTCAGAAGATTTGTCATGCCTAAACACAAGAATCTAGTCGATCAAAGTTCAACACTAAATTGATAAGAGTCAATGGATTTCAAGAGGGGTTCGAGTCGGACTGTTTGCAGGAACGTAACACCTCTAGGCTGATGCCTCGCTTAATTCCGCCCCAGCTCTGCCTACTCTTCTCCTACATCACCCATAGAAACAGACAACTACAGGTTATCCTAGCTTAAGGAACACTCGCTCAGCAACTGTTCAAAGTTAACAAAGGATCTCTTCAGAACTACCTAGGACCCATTTTTGAAGTTCCAATGTCTGTTCCCTTCTCTCCCCCCCCCCCCGCAGTCACATGATTGCATTTTGGATGCTTGGGAATTGAGCTTGCCTTTTGCAATGTCCACAGTTTTCATCATTTTTTGCTGTGTTTGTGTGTTTCCTTTTGGTTTACTGCCCATTAAGAAAAAGGGGTTCATTTAACAACCACATTTGTTTAATGACCGCAGCGTTCACTTAACAGCCATCTTAAAAAGGTCGGCCATGGGCACACGGTTATCTGTTTATCAACCACCACAACTTAACAACTCTATTCTGGTTGTGCATTGGGGTATTTGTATTTTTGTGTGTGTGCACAAACAGACACAAATATAAGTGATTTCCTTCCAAAGGGAACCTCAAGCACAAAATCTTAAGTGCCCTTGAAATCATTTGCTGCTCACAGGCATGATGTCATCTTGTGACCTTTGTCTGAATTTCCACAAATGGGGGCTTAATAAGTGAAGGGGATTACCCCAGATTTTACGAGGAAGCTTAGACGTATTTACTTTCTCCATTTATCCCTGAGGTCATAAATCACAGCAGGCCCTTTAAAAATAATGCATTTGATTTACAGGATATTAGTAAACCTCAGACTGTTCACTGCACTTTCATGCACGCACACTTTTAACGTCCCTCTTACAACACTGAGCTATTCAGCAAAAAAGGCCCAAAGCAGAAACAAACAGCAAAAGTGCTTAATGCACAGAAAATAGGATTCCGATCAACAGCCGACGTCATCATTTTTAATGGACAACTTTAATAGTCAAGTGACTATAAATCAAAAGTACAACAGATGAGCCTTCGGTTTTGCAAGGAGGGCTTCATTTTTTCCCCCTCCAGGTATTGGATTGACAGGTTTCACCATGACTGCCCTCCCCCCCCCAAGGAACCGAGGTTATGTAGGTCAGCAGAAATGACCTTCAGGTGGAAAAAGTATATACTGGTGTGAGGTGTGAAAGCAAAACTCCCCAAGTCCATCTCCTTTCAGCCTTATGTGAATCATCTGTAAACATTGCCCTGCTCTGAGCCTAGTTGAGGAAACTAGCCATTAATGATTGGGAGATTCCTTAATTACTCGGTAACTTGATATTTTGTTTTCTCCCCGGCCGGCTGCAGCTGATTGGGCGCTGGGAGTTTTGTGTTTCAAAATACAATTATGAGGCTTGCGCCGTTGCCAATTTTTTGTGTGTCAGAGGTGAGCAATTTGGTTAATGTGACATTTGGTACACTCCCATGCCCTAACTGCTATCAAATAAACAAGCTCCAAACAAAACAAAACTCTTGAAAATGCCCTTAAGGCTCAACTTGATACATTTCCCTGTCTAAAAAAAAAACCTTGAAGAAATGGCACCACTGGGCACGTTCTCTACATTTAAAAAAAAAATCACAAAAAAGAGATTTCCAGCAAATTAAAAGTATAAAACTCAGGTTAAGAGACAGCCGAAAAATAAGTTAGAGCTATTTGGTGGAAGGTTAGAATCCAAGGGAAAGTACAATATTAATGAAGGCCGGTTGGAGGAAAGTCTGATCAAAACCAGAGGAGAACCAAGGTGTGTATCAAAGTCTTCCCCATTTATCATAATTGGTCATAATTCCAAGCTGGCATGACCAAAGATTGCTCCATCTTGAAAACACAACATTAGAAAGATCCACCAGGATGCTTAATAAAATCAGGACCTTGGAGAGCTCAAGTGTGATCAGTGTATGCAAAATCCTATATTAACGAGATACATTAAGGCTAAGCCACACTGTGGTTTCTTTAGGTGTGGCCTAGAAATAGGCGAGAATCTACTGTCATCAGGTGTAAACCAGGTAGTCCTTGACTTATGACTGGAATTGAGCCCACCAGTTATGGCCATTAAGTCACGGCATCATTAAAGCAGGTCACCATATGACTGAGCTGGTTTTTACAAGCTTTTTTTGCAGAGATCGTTAAGCGAATGTCACTGTGATTACATGAATGTCTCTGTCATTAAATGAATTCATTGTTTGCCAGAAACTGAAAGTGAATGCTGGTTTCCAGCAAAAACATAAATCGTGGTTATTTGACTATGAGACACTGTAAGCAACCATAAATGTTGGTCAGTTGCCAAGTGCTCAAAATGCAGTCGTGTGATGGTGGGGGGTGATGTCAGAATGTCAAAACTGGATCCTAAGACCCTTTGGGGGGGGTCCTTCGTAATTTGGTATGGTTGCTAAGTGACCAGTCGTAAGTCAAGGATCACTTGTAGCTCAGTATGTTCTGTAAATACCATCAACCATGGCTTATTTGTAGTAAAACATACCATAGCTGCACATAGTGTATGTCAACCCAGGTTTTGGGTGCTTGATATTAAGTTACGGCTTATTTTAACCAATGCTTGTTGAACAGGCCATAAGGGCTAGGTATGACGGTTTCTTTGAGAAGAAGGAAGACTCTATGGTAGGGAAACCATTTTTAATCATATTTAATGTTGTGCCTAGGCTTTTATAGAAACAGAAATCAATATTTGACAGTATAGATCAGCGCTTCCAAAACTAGATTTTTTTCAAAGTGCGGAACTGAGCTGCATTAAAAAAACAACAACACCCAACCAGAAGCTACCAATCCATGATGGTGTTTTGCAGAATGAAAAAAACATTTTATAGATAAGTTGAAGCGATTTTGCTTACTCGACTGCTCAAATTCATTCCTACAGATATATACTGGCAATCTCCAATGGATCCCCTTGGCTTTATTTATGATGAGGAGACTTTTTGCCCTGTTCAAATGCCACATCCAGCTCTCCCTTCACCACCACCACCTTTTCTATTTCCTTGCAGCATTTGAGCCCACCCGCAAACGCTGAACACTTCCAGAAATGTCAAAATGAAACATATGCTAACAAAGCTGCAGACTGAAGCTCCCAAAGCAGGCAGCACAACACTCTGCCACTAAACAAATAAATAGCAGGCAAATGTCAGCAGAGACTGGGATTCAGAGAAGGGAATGGAAGAAAATGAATTCCATACATGGAGATATCAAAAAAATCCAGTATTTCCCCCCCCCACACACACACACAAATGAAATGACTTGACCTAGCCAGTGTCCTCTGACTTATTGCAGGGGAACACAACCTCACATCCTCACGAAACTGGAGAAAAACTATACAGGTAGTTCCTTGACTTACAACTATTCTTTTAGTGATTGTTCAAAGTTACAACAGCACTGGAAAAAAAGAGACTAACCAGTCTTCGTACTTACAACTATTGCAGCACCCTCACAGTCACACAATTTGGGCCCTTGGCAAGCAGCATGCATTTACCAAGCGTACATGTATTTATGTATTCACTAAGAAGACATTTCCTGACAAAACAATTAACCAGTGGAACAGCTTGTCTTCAGATGTGGCTGCTCCATCACCGGAGGCTTTTAAGAAGA